AATTACCCCTAGTGACTGGAAGAAATACACTGATCATGTTTTAAATGTCGAAAATGATTACAAATTAAAAGATGGCATTGTTGAAAACGAACTTGAAAAATTTATTATATCTGTTGGTGCAGACAGTAGTGAAGAGAGTGACTCTGATGATTCCTTGTCATTGTTATCAGGTGTAGAATATTTAGAAACAGATTTTGACTATGAATCAGACTAAAGTATTTTTAGTCTGATTCATAGTCAAAATCTTATCTTAAATTTTCTATTGTGATTAACATGATGATTTTGTGACACCTGTATTATGTAATTTATCCATGGCACTTAATTGTAACAAAAATAAATGTTTTTTTTATTGTAATCTGGTGTTTATATTGACTAATTTAATTTGATAGATAGTGGTTCTGGATCAGAGCAAAAGGTTGTGATGAAAATCCCTTAGGAGACATGTATGTGTTATGAACACATTATAAATATAAGGGCCAGAAATCAAAATTGGCTAACATCACATTTATTAAAAAAATGTGGCCAGAGTCGCCCATATTCATTACAAAAAAACAAAGAAGTCGTTGCAAAAAACACCCTTTTAATTAATGACAAATATGAATTTTTAATATTATAAGTGCTGTTAGCCAATAGGTATAACGAATGGGTTAAAAAAAAGATTCGATTTAGTCCGTCAGTCAGATAATAGAAAAATATTGGATACGTATTTTTTTTCGCTTTAATTTAACAACAAATGGCTTAAGAGGTACTATGCGACGACTTCAAATATGCTTTGCAACAATGTTACTTTAATACAGTTTATCGATACGAAATCAAGTGTCAAAATGGAGTCCAGTGGAGAATGCCGATATTGACATTTCGAAATTGCTCATCATTGATAGAGAATACGAAATAGTGATTTTGACACAATCAAAGTGTCTATTTTTTACGGTGATGACGATTCTTGGTTGTCAGTTGAGTTAGTGAATAGGCCTACTGATATGCTGTTAACTGTACAATTAAGAACAGTCACGCTTTAGTCAAATGTTCCAAAACAAATAATTTTAATTGATATCTAAATGTTAAGATTAAATATAATTAATAAAAGTATCAAAATTATTTTGCAGTACTACATTCAGTGTTTACTGCTTAAGAATTTTTGAAATTGCCGCCCTTTTCTTGTGACACGTTTCGCTTGCCAGACTCTAGTAGTGTCGTGAACCATAGTGGGATATATTGGGGAGACAGAGATACTAATCAAGCTGAAAAATACTACGAATATTGTAGTAATGCGCTACTAGACGTTAAGGACTGTTTTAAATGTGTTCACTGTGATAATTATAGTTATAGGCCGAAATGTATTTATATAGAAAAACATTTTAAATTTATTAGTGATTTTTATGATAATATTGTGACAGTATTGCAAATGGGTGCTAAATTAACTACGGCTAGTCGCTCTGGTGCACTGAATAGGCGTAAGGTTATAGGTTGGAACTTTCATATAAGAGAAGTACACTTAGCCTACCGTTTATATTTTGGTTGTTGGGTGGCTGCTGGTAAACCGTCGTGTGGTGAGATTTATAACAAAATGAAAAACAGTAGAAAATTATTTAAAAATAAGTTAAGATGGTGTCAGGATAATGTTGAAAAAATTAAATTAAATATATTGGCTCTTTGTAGGAAGGATAACAACTTCGTAAAATTTTGGAAAACTATAAAAAAGATGGATGTAAAACAGAGTTTACCGGTGAGTATGGATGGCTTGCAGGACAAGGAGCAGATAGCTAACTTGTTTGCCCAGAAATTCAGAGTCGATCCCTTGCCTGCGTCGGAGCGTTTGGTCGGGTTGGATGATTTTGGTTTCGCTACTGATACGGTCAAAGCTACCTTACATTTTAGTGAAGAAGATGTAGCGAATGTAGTTAGCACTATGGCGCGCGGTAAGTCACCGGGTCATGATGAGTTGACTGTCGAACACTTGTTCCACGCAGGCGAGGCGCTCTGTTTGAAAGTAACAAGGCTGTTTAATCTTTGCCTTAAATACTGTTATCTGCCTCCAAATATGATGAAAACAGTTGTAGTACCGATCATTAAAAATAAAACGGGTGATGCGAGTACAGCTAATAACTACCGACCGATATCTCTAGGTACTGTTTTAGGAAAAACTTTAGAGCGACTGTTGCAGCCCGAAGTGTCGAAAAACATACAGATTGACGATGCACAGTTTGGTTTCCGTCCCGGAGTCTCTACGGATTCCGCTATTTTAACCGTCAAACATACTGTTGACTATTACGTACGCCGGAAAACATCTGTATACGCATGTTTTCTGGATCTGAGCCGCGCATTTGATCTAGTGAATTATGATATTCTCTGGAGAAAATTGCGCGGCACAGATGTCCCGGCTGAAGTGGTGGATTTGTTCGAGCATTGGTACGGAAACCAGACTAATTATGTAAAATGGGGCGACGCGACCTCTAGTAACTACAAGCTAGAATGCGGTGTACGCCAAGGAGGGTTGACTTCTCCGGATCTCTTCAATTTATATGTCAATGACTTGATCAAGGAACTGAGGGGCGCTGCCATCGGCTGTCACGTTGGTAACGTTTGTGTTAACAACTTGAGCTATGCCGATGATATGGTGCTCCTCAGTCCCTCGATCAAGGGGCTCCGTAAACTTCTTTCGATTTGTGAGCATTATGCTGATGCTCACGGTTTGAAATATAACGTCGCAAATACAGAAGTTATGGTATTCAGAGCAAGGAAAGGTCCGGAGAACATACCAGATGTGTTTTTAAATGGTTCGGCACTTCGGGTGGTACAACAGTTCAAATATCTTGGGCATATTCTTACAGAGAATCGAAAAGACGATCTCGATATAGAACGAGAGAGAAGAGCACTATCTGTTCGTTGTAACATGCTCGCGCGCAAGTTCGGCAAATGTAGTGATGAAGTCAAATTAATTTTGTTCGGCTCATACTGTCAATGTTTTTACACTTGCCAGTTATGGTCCAACTTTAACCGTACTTCCTACAGCTCCATAAGGGTACAATACAATGACGCGTTTCGTATCCTTATGAAATATTCAAGGTACAGCAGCGCGTCGAGCATGTTCGCGGACGCCCGTACAGCGGACTTTTATGCTGTTGTGAGAAAGCGCATAGCTTCGTTTTGGACGAGGATTTGTCTTTCTGATAATAGCATAATCAGAGCCGTTAGTTGGGGTTTGGACAATCCTATATATAAGTACTGGATTTCGGTGCACCAGAGCGACAACAGAAAATAATGTTTGACAATGTAAAATACTACTGAATTTTATTTTAATAATTATTATTTTATTTTATGTAAGTTTTATTTATTTTTACTTGTACCTTATTTTTGGAAATTATGTATTTGACTGTTTATTGGGTTTTTTATGCCTTTCAATAAATCATTATTATTATTATTATTATTACTGTTATATAAAAGTAAAATAATATTATTATATAACTAAAAAAACAACTACATATTGCAAGCACACTTTTCTAATCAAGGGTAATTTTGATTGATTTGTCGCTGTTGCATACATGCACTTATAACAACAGAATGACACAAATCCTGATATAATGCTTTATTGCATATCAGTTTATTGTAAAAAATAGCCCTACAAAATTTATGAGAAACTTTAAATTCTTTGTCATCCATTACACTTATTTTATTTTCATAATAGATGTTAACATAGTAAATTTAAATAAATATTATACATATTGCTTAGATTCCAATACGTGCATCTGGATTGAGTGATCCTTTTTCAGTTTTCAACAAAATCATAATGTATATTTATTTAGTCAAAATTTGTCAATACTCATAAACGAAATGAAAAAATTTGTCACTCTTAAGCGATCGACATTATTGCCCAATATGTGGAACACTCAATTCAGATGTTAAACAAAATGGCTACAAGCCGAATTTCAGGAAATAATTACAATGGAATAAAATTTTCATATGAAAAATTTGTACAGAATTTGTCATTATTTTACAAAAAAATCAAGATACTTCAACGTAAATCCAGGATTCTACGATATTTTTAATGAAACTATTCTATTTCAACTGTCATCCTTAATTAATATCATATATCTATATATATCTATTAATTTTTTTTCGTTTCTATTGTCGTCAAGTTGGCCAAGCTGTTATAGCGCTGAATTAAGTAATTAAGTTATTGTAATCACTACATAGTATAAAACGAAGTCGCTTTCTCTGTCCCTGTATCCTATGTTTGCTTAAATCTTTAAAACTACGCAACGGATTTTGATGCGGTTTTTTTCATAGATAGGGTGATTCGAAACGAAGGTTTTTATGTATAATACAAGACCATGCGGGCGAAGCCGCTGGCGGAAAGCTAGTTAATTCATATTTTATAAATATGAATATAGTATTGCGAATGAAAAAAAATCACATGGATATTTAATATTTTCGTAAGCAACCATGAGAAGATATAAGATTTTTAAACCTAATTTTAATAAAAATCGGTAACTGTTTTTATTAACTACGTATTTTAAAAAATTTACCTTCAAACGCAAAAACAGGCTTCTTTATGCAATTTTCTAATCTGCCTCCAGTCTGCAAGCGGACTCTGCAAAGTCTGCGCAAGTATTTTTAAGTACGCACGTTTAAGTACGTACTTAAACACAATGGAAATTTATCGAGAAATTTAAATGTATTCAATGAAACGACGTAGAGAACTGCAGAATTTGAACTTTTAATATATGTTACTCAATTAATTAAGTACCTATTTCATCTATAACAATCGATAATTATATAAGTTTTCATAATAAGACAAGAAAACGTAAAAATTTCTAACTTTAAATATAAAAAGGTCTCCAAAACTATCTTAATAAATAAATTATTTATTCGTTAAATAAACGCATATATTTTACTTTACCACAAACTGTTAAAATAGCTGCATACGATTTTTAAAGCTGCCCGCCAGGCATTTGTCATCGTTCGCTAAACAAGCACAGGATATAATGTGAATCCCCCAGAACTGCAAATCTCAACTGAAGATATGGCCGATTACACAATGTACGAGAAGGAGGGTAAGAAGAGGTACGTCTGCAACAAGTGCGGAGTGGAGCGAGCCAGCGTTGACACTATAAGAAACCACATGGCGAGTCTACACTTCAATCTTCTACCTTACCACTGCTCGCTCTGCGAAGAAAAATTCAGTTCGAAAGGTAATAATTTCAAATTACTCAGGCTAATTAAGTATATCTATCGGATAATGTACCCATACCACGTGATATACCACGTGATACGTTCAGAGGTAGGATGGGAGTCTTCAAATAGAACATGCTTGTCTTTAAAGCAACAAAACGCCCAGAATTCGTCGTTTGTACACTGCGTATATTAATGGCCGCAAATATTCCTAGTATATAAATATAGAGCAATACAGAAATGACAAATGATTGAGAAACTGCAGAGGTAGGGGAAGGTGTCTTGGTATATGCAAGTAGTCCTGGTCACTATGGGTCAACTGGAATGGGTACGTTCCCGTAAAAAGATTGGGCTCAGATAATTAAATGTAGACGAAAATGATTATATATGTGTGATTTAAAAAAAAATGAAGTGTAATATTTTGTCCGCAGGTCCTCTGGCTAGGCATTTAGCCAGCGTGCATTCCATGAAACAGATGACCGTGTGTCAAACAAAAGTTCTAAAATCCACAAAGAAGGCCATTTGCGACATTTGCAAAAAGGAATTCAACTGCAAATCACTCCTGAGCATTCACATTAGAACACATAACAGCCCTCCTAAGTGCCCTGAATGTTCCTTAGTCATGAAGCCTAGAGAAATGGCGTTCCACAGGAACGAAGCACACGGCGTGCCTTTGCCGACTTGCGGCATTTGCGGGTACAGAAGCCACAAAGAATATCTCGTGATTAAGCATCAGAGACAGGTGCATTTGAAAGAGAGGAATCTTAATTGTCCGAAATGCAACGCCAAGTTTTTCAATATATCTCACCTTAGGAGACATTTGATTACGCACAATCCTGTTAAGAAATATGAATGCAGATTTTGTAAGAAAACATTCCCAAGGTTGGGCACTAAAAGAGAGCACGAGAAAATACACACGGGCGTGAAAAACAAAGTCTGCTCTCAATGCGGCGATAGGTTTGTGCAGAAGGCGAGTCTTAACTACCATATGATGAAGCATCACCCTGAAGTCGCTTATTAGTGTACTTATATTATTTTTATTGTTGAATGCGTTTATTATATGCTATCAAAGAGGCTGTCAATTTAAAACGCTGTACTCATTTAAAACATTTTGTGGTAAAAGTAAATGCAAATTATGTGTTTCTATTATATATCTGTATATGATGATAAGCTCTAAATATATAGACGAATTTACCTGAACGGGACGGTAATGCATTTACCGTCCCGTTCAGGTATCACATTTATTTCGATAATAATAACTGTTGTACATAATTAAAAACCTTGATGTGTTTTGACTGAACTTCCATCAGCGGCTCCATAATTTCAATAATACAAATACAAACTGTTGAGTTTGTCTATCTATTTATTAAAGATTATATGTAACGAATTATACAGCAAGCAATTAAAACCACTCTCCAAATTTGAGTATGTTAATCTTTACGACAAATAATGAAATACGTGTTTTTTTCTTTTTATGTCGTTTAGAACAAAAATGTTGAGTTATATCGTCACCAAGTTATTTTCAAAAAACCTACATTTGTGGACGCTCTCGCTGCCCAGTACATGCGCTTTACGCGCTACGTTACACTTACCCTCCCTCCCTTGCCGCAATTCATTGATAGTAATAATAGCAGCTACCTAAAATGTTTTCGTTTTGTCATGCTTGGGGAAATGATTAATAAAGTTGAAACCTGTTCATACTTTTACCTTAGGGCTTAGGACCGTCAAATTGCATAAATCCTATTAGATACCTACTATTACAATAGCTATACTGCTTCAAATTTATAAAGTAAGTAGGTAAGTAAATATCGAGTTACCTAAAATTCTGTTTAGTTAAACCAATTCAAAGTAGGTACTTAACTCGCTATTCTTTTGCAATCAGGCGTATTTAAAAAATCATCAACTTTATGTACATAATCAACTAATCAATTTACCTACCTACTTTAACTATTTACCTACTTTAATAATTGTTCAAAGTACATACCGTTCCTCTCCAAACAGAGTCTTGCACCTTTTCTGCACATTGTCTTTTAATTTTGCGAGCACTACCGTGCCATTTTTCACTTGGTAAAATGCCGCTCTGATTTGCACTTTTAAGTCCTCGAGGCTTTGTGCTTCTTCAACATACACACGTCTTTTAATTTCGCCCCACAAATAAAAGTCACACTGTGGTAGGTCCGGCGATCGCGCAGGCCCCACGATGGGGCCTCCGCGTCACGTTGATCACCATGTATGTAACACTGCACCATTTCATAATATTCGCGATTGGAATACATTACGATGCGCGAAATGTGGCGCTGTGACGGGCGGTACGCAACACGGAAGCAAAGGCGGAAGAGCATGCGTTCAAAGGGGTTGTGCGCGGGCGACTGACTGATGTGCGCCCACAAAATAACAAACCGAGCAGACATTGTTGATGGCGCATGCGCGTACATCCCCTGCGCCCGCGCCCTTGCTACCCCTGCTGCCTTGTTTTATTCATAACTAATGTGACAATGCGAATGTTATAATTATCTTGTAATTGCAATAAGTTTACATTTCATTTTGAAAATTTTACATACCGTTTTTTTTTCATATATGTGATCTATTAACGATACCTAATGTCTAGAAAAAATTTGGAGTCATTTTAAATGCAGCCGGTATACAGTCATTATTAGGTTATATGAATAGGTTTCACTTCTAGCTCACACTGCAAGTGTATAAGTAAATTGAATTGTTGTAGTAACATATATACGCAATAAAGACAGTAATTAAAGGGCAATTTAGTCGTTCTTCGTCTCGGAAAATTATATTGATGTTAGATGCTTTCGTCATAACTTTCAAAATTTTCTTGATAGGGAGTTCAATAATGAATAAAAATAGAGAATATTTTAAGCGCAAAAGGTTCCAGGAGTTTCTCTCGGAAAAACGCATTCTGTTATTTCAAAATCACTCGCGATCGAATATAAAAGTAAAGAATTGAATATGATATTAATAGTAGAATTAGTATAGAAGTATAGTATGAAGTACTAAGTATAGAATTAGTCAGTCTTTACATATATGTAAATAGTCTAAATGAAATATTTATTAAACCACTTTGAAGTTAAGGGACTAAAGATAATCTAAATCTAAGTTTTATTAAATTCTGTGCTGCTACCAAGATACGGGAAATGATCATTAAGTGATTGGTATGTTCTATTCACTAGTTAAGAGGTGATTATTATAATAATGAACTCTTAAAATGTTTCATGTAAAATAAATAATTTAATTATATTGGTTTTGAGTTTTCTGTGTATTCTTTGAGTAGCCGTTAGACTAGAAAAGCTCAATTTGTTACGATCTTTTGGCTTTTCCCAAAATTGCAAAATAATACTGTAGACTATAGAAATAATAGAAACAACACAGTATAAATAATTATGAACTATTTATAGATTTAGTGGTAGTCATATAAATCTCGGAATTATCCATTTGGATTCAGTAAAAAATAGTAGGTATATTATTTACATATGCCTGGTGACTATTATGTAGAATGTTGGTTTTCTGATTTAGTTTTATTATCTTTGAATTTACCAAATTACAATGGAAGAGAGTCAGGACCGTTTTAAAAATCTTTATTCGAGCAATCAAGTATTTTACAGATACAAAATTTATTCTAAATATTGAAATAGCATTATGAATGATAATTTTGTCCAAAATGATATGACAAAGAATTTACTACTTTTCATAATTATGAAAATATACACTATATCTCACTTAAACAAATAGTCTTAATTAGAGCCACCACCAAAAGTAATTCATTAGCGTATTAAGTTAACGCATACTTTACAACAAACTTCGGAAAGAACTCCGCGATAGAAGTGTTAGATTGAGCTTCCCGCTAGGTATTTGTCAGCGTTCGCTAAACAAGCACAGGATATAATGTAAATCCCCCAGAACTGCAAATCTCAACTGAGGATATGGCCGATTACACTATGCACGAGAAGGATGGAAAGAAGAGGTACACCTGTAACAAGTGCGGAGTGGAGCGAGCCAGCGTTGACACTATTAGAAACCACATGGTAGCTCAACACTTCAATATGCTGCCGTTCCACTGCTCACTTTGCGAAGAAAAATTCAATTCTAAAGGTAATTATTTAGACGTTTATTAAATATATATATTAGGGAACGAACTCATACCACGTGGCTGTGTTTACGTGAGTCGTTCAAGAAGGAGAAGCTGAGTCTTCAACCTAAAATTTGGTGGTCAAAGGATGGGGAATCTTTTTTACTTTATTCCCTTAAACAACACTTTAGGGAAAAACATCTGCTTTAGTTAAGAGTTTTAATGCTAAAAAAGCATTCATTATAGGTCAAGCAATCCGCTCTGTAAGTCATTTTGCTAATGTTTACGTAATAATAGCATCTCTATAGAATCTCAACTATTTACATTTTGCCTTGTACTAATTGCCTGAAGTCCATAATTATCTATCGCCATTTTAGATGCGAGGAACAGGGCTTGAAACCGGTTCAGAATAAACCGTTTTTATTTAAAACCTGTTCTCTTATAATGTTCCGTTCCGGATCGGAACTAAATGCGGAGTGAAATTCGGATGGAATAAAAACCGGTTAATTCGCTAGGTTCGTAAAAAGCAATGTTCTTACATTTTTAATGCGAATTATATCATTTTTAAGTGACGAGATTTATCATACCTGTGTACGGATCAAATAGAAAGGAGTATAGTCACTTATACTCCTTTCCATTAGATCCGTACACAGGTATGGTATCAAAACCGTGCTGAAGTTTCAAGATCATTGTCTGGAGTAATATTTAAACCGGTTAATGAAGAAAACCGTATTTCTAGTGAACCGGTTTAAAAACCTGTTCAAAGGAGCTGAACCTTTTATGTAAAGTTCCGCATGTACTTGCGTCGAACTGGTTCAAAAAATAAACCGGTTTCCAAGCCCTGGCGAGGAAGACATTGCAAAAATAATATTGGACTTTAGGTAAGTAGTGTAGATAGGCAAATTGCACACAGTTAAGATTCTACTGAGATACGATTATTAAGTAAGCAGTAACGGAATTGATCTACTGAGCGACTTGCTCAGAGTTCGAATTGTTATGTGAAAATTAGTGGGGCTGGGTATGTCACTGTAAGAGGGGTAACAATTCTAATAAATTGGTCAACTGCAGGCTTAATCTTGAAGGCAATCTCAATTTCAATCCAATCCAATGTTGCTCTCAATTTTGGTCAAATCATAATTAGTACTCACAACACACATCTTGAGTATTGAAACAATATTCTTGAGTATTGAGAACATTAACATGAAGTTGTCTGTCCGTGGTCTTTGCAATAGTGAAGATCACAATATTTAAAGCACATTGATAATGCTGATATTGTAAAAAAACGAATACGGATTATAGCACAAACTCAATATTAACGTAATTGATGCTAGTCAAGAGTATGGCCACAATTCCAATATCGATCGCGATTGACTTCAAGAGTAAGCCTTTTGGAATGGGTACGTTCCCTAAACTGTTTGGATTTTGATAATGAAATTGAATACATGAAGATAACAGATGTTAAAGGAAAATATCTATGTTAGTGAGAAAATATTGTTTTTTTCTGCAGGTCCCCTGGCTAGACATTTAGCCAACGTGCATTCCATGAAACAGATCACAGTATGTAAAACTAAAGTTTTGAAATCTACAAAGAGAGTCATTTGCGACGTTTGCAAAAAGGAATTCAGCTGTAAAGCACTTCTCAGTCTTCATTTTAGGACACATAACAATAAGTGTCCGGAATGTCCTGTAGTCTTGAAGCCTAAACAAATGGCGTTACACAGGAACGAAGTGCATGGTGTGTCTATACCGACTTGCGGCATTTGCGGATACAGAAGCTATAGAGAATGTCTAGTGATTAAGCATCAGAGACAGGTGCATTTGAAAGAGAGGAATTTTAACTGTCCGAAATGCAACGCTAAGTTTTTTAATACATCGCACCTTAAGAGACATTTGATTAAGCACAATCCTGTGAAGAAATATGAATGCAGATTTTGCAAGAA